TATGCTTCATTTCTGTGGAGGCTAGGCTGTCCCTTCCTTGCTATGTCCTTATGTCTTCATGAAAAGCCTTTAATATTCAACAGACTTTTGAGAACTGAATATTTTCAAATAAAGGGCTTTTGACAAGGTCTCGTACTATTCGAATTTGCTGTTTTAATATTTGTTCATGTGTGCCTTCAAAATGTTTCCAAGTTATGGTGATCCTAAGGCAAACGTAACACAGTATTTTCTTGGCTAAATGTGTTCAAAGAAAGCATTGACTTTCTCGGAAGCTGAAGGAGTCCAATCTTCCTAAATTCATTCAGGGGAGTTCCAGGACTGATTAGGATTAAAACCCTGGCTTCCCAAAAATCTGGTTCAAAAGTCAAACCAATACAGTTCATTTTAAATAATACTGTTTTTAAAGTTGTGTGTGTTTAAATAGTATAGTATTTGTTTTAATTTGCAAGCTACCTGGAGTCCCTGCTGGAGGAAAATGTGAGCTATAAATGTTTATTATTTTATTTTGAAAACATAAAATATTTCCTAAGTAAATCAAAGAATTTGCAAAAAAAAAATTCTGATGAAGGAGTCTCTAATACAAATGCAAAGCTATATATTGTATTTAGAGACTATAGTTTTCATTCATGTGTTTTTAGTCAAATTGTACTGGAAATTCTTTTACCAAAATGTTTTGAATTTTTTTTATTTCCCAAAGAAGACCTCAAAATATTAACAACCTTAAAAGATCTGAGCTTTAATAGTAAACATTAACTTGCAGCATCTTGAAATTTGGCTTTTTAAATATATGGGTTCAACTGGCTTTTGCCTTTCCAGGAAAAGGAAATAGTCAAAAGTTTAGCTCAGTCATCAGAGTGCATTGAAAGTGGTGATGATGTGCCTTCAAGGTTTTTTTTTCTGATGTATGGTGACCTTAAAGCAAATCTGTCACAGGATTTTCTTGGCAAAATTTGTTCAGAGACGGTTTGTCATCCTCTGAGGCTGAGAGAATGTGACTTGTCCAATTTACACAGTGGGTTTCCATGGCTGAGCAGGGATTCAGATCCTGGTCTCTGGAGTATGAATCCAAAACCCAAACAACTATGCCATTCTGGTTTGACAATGCACTCTACAAATTACATCACAAGGGGGCATAATGTTTCTTTAGAAGTGCTGATGAAATCAGACAAACTCCTGCATTTTCACGCCTAAGACCCTCCAAGTAGTTTTGAGGACTGGGGTCACAGCTCTTGATTTAAAGGTGCTGCTTCCTGAAAGCCGGCTTGTATGTCAAGATATGATCTACAAAGCTGACTCCAAATAAAACAGCTCACACTTGTACACTTTTAACAGAGGTAAATACCAGCCACTTTATTATTTGTATTAAGAGTTTCATTTGCTTCTGTGAAATGGCTCGACTATAGCTAGCAAAGCAGGATAAGCTGGATCCGCCTACTGTATATTCCCTACCAACAGTCTAGCAAACAAACCCACAGGTTTTATGTACCTTGTTTGTAGGATCAGGTCCTCACCAAATATCTATGTGACTCATGCTTCCTGGCATCTTGAGGCATTGTGATATGTCTCTCTGCCAGTTTCCTTTTTCCATTTCTTCCCTATTGGCCTTCACCCTTCAAACTGTGGAGGAGTGGTTTCAAGTTAGCATGAGAGGCACAATTTGGAAATTTCTTTTTGAAGTCACGGTTCTCAGAATCCACTGGCAGCTAACATGGCTCCATAAGTAACATTAGAGACTTGGCACAAAGAACTCATAAGAACCCTTCCCTTGGCAATATTTGTTACAGTAAGTTGTGACAGGATCAAGTGTGTGTGTGTTAAAGGAAACCTTATACTGCTGGTCATTGTGTGCAACTGCTAATGTAGGTCAGCAAGTAAGTTTGAACCACACCTGCTGGGGTATAATTGTATGTGTTTTAGAATACAGTTTAGCTTTTGCTCTGAGGAGCCTTTGCGCAGACATTTTGCTCAGCTATTTGTACTGCTCTCTCATTGGAATGGAGATAAAGAAACCTTATTCCGTATTACTTACAAGGACTATGTAAGTTTGTTGCACCGTTTGATTTTGTTTGCAACACTGCAAGTTTATGTTTTAACTCTGCTGATAAGAGTAAAGTTTTTTCTGTTGTTTTTCCTCTTGCCTGTGTGCAATGTTAGTGTGTCATCTGAATTGGACTTGACTGAAACCTGCTATTCGCAACAATATTTCCCTTTCCATATTTCACAAATTTGCATAGCTATATTTCTTCTTCCTGGGCCCCTTGGTGGCACAGTGGGTTAAACTGCTGAGCTGTTGAACTTGCTGACCGAAAGGTTGGTGGTTGGAATCCGGGTAGCGGGGTGAGCTCCCGCTGTTAGCCCCAGCTTCTGCCAATCTAGCAGTTCGAAAACATGCAAATGTGAGTTGATCAATACGTACTGCTTCTGTGGGAAGGTAATGGCGGTCCATGCAGTCATGCTGGCCACATGACCTTGGAGGTGTCTACAGACAATGCTGGCTCCTTAGCTTAGAAATGGAGATGAGCACCACCCCAGAGTCTAGAATTAATGTCAGGGGAAACCTTTACATTTTATTTCTTCCAATATATGGGCAGGGAATTGATGACCCAACAAATGATGGTGATGATGGCAATACCTATTATATTTATTTATATCCCACTTTTTCCTCCAGTCCTGGGGGGAAAGGGGGCACCCCGGGTTGCCATGGTCAGTAGTTCAATCAACTTTCCTTTTTCCTGCCTTAGTATTTTATCTCCCCCATTAGAACAATATTATCTTTACATAATGTTGTCTAACTTGCTCTTTATCATAGTGTCCTATTTCAGATCATAATCATATTTAGGGGATATACTAAAGTGGAAAACCCAAGAAAACTGCCAGTCTGATGTTTCAAAATTTTTGTTGCATTCTGTATCATAAATGCTAGGGGAAGAAAACTTGTATCTCCAAATGTGAAAAAAATCAATATTGTACAAACACAGGAATGGCCTAAGTGCAAATTGTGGAATATTGGTGGAAGTATTCTTATTAATCTCAAATAAAAAGATTAAATATATATATTTTTCAGACTTTTGCCCCAAGACTACTGGGAAGACCTCCAAAGAGCAAGATGTATTTTCGCATCCATATAGAATCATAGAGTTGGAAGAGACCTCGTGGGCCATCCAGTCCAACCCCCTGCCAAGAAGCAGGAAAATTGCATTCAAAGCACCCCTGACAGATGATCATCTAGCCTCTGTTTAAAAGCTTCAAATGAAGGAGCCTCCACCCTATGAGGCAGGATTGTTTCACACAATGGATTTAATGCATCCATCACTATCCTAGTGCAATGCAGAACTTGAAAATGCCACTTTTGAGACTGTAGGTCACCAAATTCGCCAACTTGTAAAGTCAGTAGCCTTGCTCAAAGGGGGAATTTGAGGGCTGTAGTCCTCAAACCCATTTTTCAAAGCGCTGATTCGCCAGCCACGTGCACACCCCTTTATATAGAAGTCGAACCTGTTTGTTTAGTATCTAGTTTTGTACAAAGACTTTACCAAATCTCAAATCATGCCTGCACTAGATTTAGTGAGTCACATCTACTCAAATGTTTTCAGCATGGAGCAATACAGAAATGTACACTGTCAGCATGTGTAGACTGCCTCTGCTGTGAAAACAAAATGAAATATAAAGGCTTGCCGGTGGCACGAACACAAGCATGTTGTTTCACATTGTATACAATCATGTAACATTTATGGTTTCTCTTCACCTTTTCTTCCTACCCACCCAATGCTCCCAGATACTCAACCTCATGTAACTGTTTTAATCTGATTTTGGATACAACTGCTTGCAAGTATTTCAGTTTTATGGCATATTAGAGTACAACTCCATCAATTCTCCACCCCGCTATGGTATCTACACCTAAAAAGGTTTCTCCACAAACATTATTAAGTTGATAGATGTGGGTACTCTTCCAACATTCCTTTGTCCAGCAACACGTGAAAGCAACCTTCCCTGAGCTGATGCCTTCCTGAGATGTTGAACTATTATAGCCAACAACCACAGCCATTGGAAATTATAACCCAGCACGCAAAGGCATTAACTTAGGGAAAGCCGCTCTCTATAGTTCCAGTCATGGTTCATATAGCTTAGGACAGCACGCTTAGTTTGTTTCGTTCAGGTCCACATCAAGTCTACACAAGCCCAGCCCTTAAAATGAGTGTGAGTGTCTGTGGGAGGGATGGAGAAAGACCTGCTTGATAGGCTTCAGACCTGTCAAAGCTTAGTCACCCCTTGTTAATTTAATGAGGAAGCCTCAGTATGAGTGAGGAGTGAAACTACCAGTAGATCCTGTGTGGTTGCTCAGCAGAGCCAGAGGGATGGGCAATGCCCAGCTTTGGTAGGAGAATTTGTTGGGGAACCTGTCTTCTTGCCATCTAGCACTTCTCATAACAGGCATTTCAGAAGTTCTTTCTTGTTTTGGTAACAGGGAATCCCAATTCCTAAAATTCCATCCAGCACAACTTAGCCACACAAGCAAACTATCAGAAAAGGTTCATGAAAGCAAGCGGAATAAAATGCTTATGAGCACATTTGCAGGTTTCTTTGGATCATAGGTAGGGAACCTGTAGTAGATATTACTGAATTCTAGTTTCTATCTGCTCCATCACAAGGTATGGTGGAAATTACATGTTAAACCAGAGTTAAGGCACAAGATTCTGTCTGATCTTGAAGGCTACTTGGATAGGAGACCACCAATGAATACCAGAGTCTGTAGGCTGGGTATTTCAGAGGAAGGAACTGGCAAAACAACCAGTATTCCTTGCCTAAGAAAACGATATGAAATTGATGCGGTCACCATAAATCGACAGGCAGCTTGAAAGGACATGACATGGTAGGAGTTGTGAGTTAAGCCAATCTTGCTTAAGACCAATATTGAGAAATTATATTCAGATGGATTAATTCTTCATTTAAAAGAGGATTTACAATTGTTTTTCTTTCAAGTAGTGTTTTATTATCTGCTGTGTTTCTAAACTGCTGGCTTTACTCTTCTAACTGGACTATTTTGTATATATTTTAAAAGAGTTTCATGTTGCTTCATTTACATTCGTTAAACTGCTTTGAAGAGGCTTTGCCCTTAAACCTGGCACATAAATGTCTAAGCTAAACAAATAAAAGTCTCCTTTGTAGTCTGTAGATGCTGCCCCTCCCAATTTTTTTATTTAAGCATAAACAAAGCACTTGCTTTTATTGTATTGCATTTTATTTGTTTTACATCAGATCAACAATATCTCAGGTATGAATAAAGAGCATACTAACATTTCGCATGGGGGAATGCCTGACAGGTCCAAGCAACATCAAATATTAATTAACAATATGTACAGACTGGTGCAGTGCACATACTAGAGCTGAGGTCATTTACTAAACAAACCCAAGCTATTTTTTTTTTACAAAAAACACATTTTTACAGCATATTTAAAAAGAATGACCGCTTGTTTCCACAAGCTATATGTTGAGAGAGTCCTTTTCTTCTTGGAAAGAAAGTTTCAAGTATAGCAGAAATGGACAAAAATGCCCTATACAAAAATATATTCCAAAAGCTGCCTAGAGAAAAATGCAGCTGCAGCAGTACCTGGCTTAATGGCCAACTTCCTTTGTAGGAGGCAGCATGCAGATGAAGGCATCTGTAGAAGGCTCACAGTGAACCCACATAACATATTTCCCATTGGAGGCTGGTGCACACATTCATACACATAATACCCTCATCAGATGTCAGGTCCAAATATATATACTGTATTTATCAATCCTGAGATGCACTTTTTCCTACATATAAATATCTCTGAAAACAGGGTGGGTCCGGGATCTCATCTGTACTGGTATAGGTTTCCCCTAATATCAAGTCTAGTCATGTCCGACTCTGGGGGGCTGTGATCTCCATTTCTAAGCCAGCGTTGTCCATAGACACCTCCTAGATCATATGGCCAGCATGGAGCGAGGTTACCTTTCCACCTAAGTGGTACCTATGGATCTACTCACATTTGCATGTTTTCGAACTACTAGGTTGGCAGAAGCTGGACCTAACAGCAAGAGCTCACCCCGCTTCCCGAAGTCGATCCACCAACCTTTCGGCCAGCAAGTTCAGCAGCTCAGCAGTTTAACCCACTGTGCAACCAGGGGGTTAATTATATTTGCTATATAATGCAATTTCAGAACACAGTTTACTTACATTAAATTGGATTATATGAGTCTATACTATCATATAATGCAGTTCAAATAAGTTCAAACTGCATTTTAAAATTGCATTATATGGCAGTGTAGATGGGGCCATAGAATCTGTGTGTGTGTCTCTCTCTGTGTGTGTGCATAAAAATAACTTTTTTCTGTCAGTACTAAAAGTAGTGTGTATCTTACAATCAATGGCATCTTAGACTTGAAGAAATACAGCATCTTTCAATGTTTAGTTACTTTTAAAAGATTATCATGAGCCAATTCCCTAACCCTGCACACAGAACACAGCACCTTTGTGCTCCAAGTTGTGGGGCTTCTGCAAAGTAGCATGGGGTTCAGAAAATGGAGACTGATTTCAAGAATAGAATCAGGAGTTTCACTATTCTTAAAAGACAAAGTTGGGCTTCAGAAGCCTCTCCGAACCTGGGAGCACTGCCTGCTTCATTCATGCAACAGTTGAGAAGTATTAAAGATGGCTTTTTCCCCATAGACAAAGGCAACAGGTTGCTTTTTAAAAATATTATATTACATTCGTATAAAACACATTTGAGGTAATATAATTAAGCCATTATACATTTAGCCAGCTCTTAAAAACTGAGAATAGTTTGCTGCAGTCCTATTTAGCTGGGACTATTAAATATAGTAGGATTTATCTCTGAGTACAAATATAAAATCTGCAGTATCGGCTAGGAAAGACTACAATCCTACACACCAACCTTCTCTAATGCGATATGCTCCAGATGTTTAAGACCACAAGTCAAATACATCCTACTCAATATGGTCACTGACTAGGCATTCTGAATTCTGTAGTGAAAAACATCTATTGGATACCAAATAGGAGCCATAGTTCTCATCAAGTTCAGTGTCAAACCCTTCAAATCTAAAATGAAGATTGTTGCAAGAATTTTAGTCCAGGGGCACACAAAGTGCACCCCTTCAGATGTTGCTGAACTACAACTCCCATCAGCTCTAATCAACACAACTAAGAGTAAGGAATGATGGGAGTTACAGTTCAATGACATCCTTGGTCTGAACTTTGCTCATCCCAGCTTTAGGTCATTGACTGTGCTGGAGGAGCACAACTTGTTTTTGATTTTATTTCCAAAAGGCAACCTTTTCAAAGTTTTTCTTTGAAACATGTGATTTCATAAACCAGAAAAAGGAAACCAGCATATTAAGATAATTTTTCAATTCATATTACAGCCCTAAGCAAAGTAATGAAAAGGAATACTTTAAGATGGCAATCCTAAATGTACTGATTTAAGTCCATGGCTTTAATCTTTCCCACTCAATTAGACATAAGTCCCATTCCATTCCAGATAGACACATTCAGGATTGTACTACAAGTCCCACCAATCTGTTGTCAGCCTACTTAGAAGAGGCCCTCTCAAGTTGGGAGTGTTATTCTCAGATGGGTTTGTGTAAAACTGTAGCTTCTGGGTAAACATGCACAGAATTGGGCTGTGAAACACTGGTCCCTATACATTTCATTTCATGCAACAGAAGTTTTGTCTTTGTTCAGCGTTTCTATTTTGTTTTATAGCCTGTTCCAGAAGTGACAGCTTTAGTTTCTTCTGCTGGATTATCCCACTCACTCACTGCTGACAGCTTGGAGACTTATTGGTGGACGTTACTTGCTTTAAGAAGTTACATCATTGGTCTGAACAGACTGACCAAACTGGAAGCTTTACAGCTGAAACAAAATGTTATTAAAATATTTTAATACAAAAATGCTAGCAATCCTGGCAAAATATGAACAATGATTTTTTTCTCTTTAAATGTCTTTCCCCAGTTTTTTATAGGGCAGAGGTAGAAATTTGGCAGTCTTCCAGATCTTACTGAACGGCATCTCCCAGCAGCTCTAGCCCACCAAATTAATGATCAGAAATGTTGTGAGCTGCAGTCCAACAAGATCTGGAAGCTCAATTCCCATCCCTCTTCTATAGGATGCAGAAGTCATTGTTTAACCTTATAATTTATTTCTGAAGCCATTGGGAGTGAAATATAATGCAAGCCAGGCCAAGTCAGTCTATCTATCTGTATATGCATGCCTATCTCTTGTAGGGTGTATTTTAAAAGTAGTTTGACAAGATAGATCATTTAAAAAGAAGCAAAGGTGTGTGTGTGTGTGTGTGAATGAAAACCCATTGTGAAGCAAAATATACAAGGAGTTAAAAGCTAACAGGAAGGTTGCGACAAACTCTATCTACACTGACCATTTAATGCAATTTTAAACCAGAATTGAAAAAAGTGATTGCACAGGAAATCCTGGAACCACTTTGAGGCACTGATGGTGATTACACAAACCGCAGAGCACTGATGCGTATTAAGTACTTTTTTTGTATGCATTTTTATGAGCCCACCACAATTTGAAGCTAGCTTTGAACTACATTAAATGGTCAGTGTAGATGAGGTCACAGTCAGCATTGTATCTGTGATTTTTTTGTGCACACTGAAGATCTGGAATGGGGAACGGTAGGGATACACTGCCCGACTGTCCTGTCCAAACATACTCTTCCAAGTGCATTTTTTTCATATACCCTAGCTCTCACTGCAGCCATGTTTTGTAACTATTCACTCTTAAATAGATATAGCCTGTCCATAAAGTGGTGGAGGAACCAAATGGGCTCCCTCCTTAAATATTTAAATGTGTCAGTACTATATACATAAGTTAGCTACTCCAGTTAGAAGGGGAGGGGACCAAGTGTTGGATCCCTTCATGATGAGAGTCCCCAGTGTCTCTTTGGATACCCATATCTCTTTGCCTCTCGTCTTCAACCCCATCACAACCCACCCCAATGACCCAAGGAAGCCAGCCATGCTTCACACGTGCCTCTTCATGTGCAGAGCCAGGTGATCTGATCGGGAGAAAGCACGGTCGCAGAGCTGGCACTGGAAGGGCCGGACCCCCGTGTGCTTGCGGTAATGACGCGTGAGTTCATCTGACCGTGCAAATTTCCATCCGCAGCCTTCCCAGTTACAGTGATAGGGCTTCTCACCTGAAAGAGAGAAATAAGCACAGTGAACAGACTTTATAGTATGCTGGGAGAGATAGCATTGTTAGATATGGGGTCCTTCCACACCACACAATTATAGTTCCATTATTCTACTTTTAACAGCCATGATTGCCTGGTTTGTAGTTTGGGGTGACACTGGGTGAGAATTCGAAATGACCTTCCCTTATTTGAAAGTCACTGGAGGCAGCCATGGCAATTAAAATGATGTCAAAGTGCTATAGTTATATAGTGTGGAAAAGGCCTACAGATTCAGCTTATTAGCATACACAAACGTTATTGGCAGTTGTGTCACCAGCCACTCAAATCTGATGGCTGGGAGATTCTGATAGTCTTCAAAAATAACTCTTCGAAGCTATGATTCTGTGATTCTCTAGCCTGTAAATTGTCCCTTCTTCCTTTATCTTAAACTTATTAAGAAGTCATCCATATTCCCATTAAGCAAAGCAGCATCCTTTCTAGTGGATGCATCTATCAAAGGTCATATATCCTCTTCACTTTGGTGAAGTCTATCTCCACCCATTTCTCTGTCCTGGAAGAGCCACAAGACCTGCTCTGCACCCAACAAGATTTATAGCACCAGGAGATGGAGATTGCCGTCCCACTAACACGTACATGGGAGTGTCTCACTGAACACAACAGAGGTGACTTCTGAGGAAACCCGAACAAGGGCACGTCTTTCCAGAAGCCACTCGGTTCATGTACATTCCTGCAAGAGCCCTCTGTAAACAAACTACTTGGACTTGGGCAGCCTCTGGCCAAAATATCTTCCAAGTTTCCTAGCACCTGAGCAGGAAAGGGCAACCTCAGAGATTGGTCATCTAATCTAACTCCCGCTCACTTTACAAGATTGAAATCATTTGCTCCTAGCTTGAGGCTCATAGGGTGCATCTACACTCTAAAATTAATGTAGTTTGACACTTCTCACTGCGATGGCTCAATGATATGGAATCCTAGGAGCCGTAATTTGGTGAGGCACCAGACCTCTTATAATGAAGTTATAAAACTAATCTCTCAAGATTCCATAATATTGAGTCACGGCAGTGAAGGTGGTGTCAAACAGCATCAATCCTACAGTTTATATGTACCCTTAGACACCCTCTTCTCCACATCCCTCAAGTCTGCATCATTGGAAGCCTGGGAACTGGTAGATAGATACCTGTTAAATGTAGTTTCTGGTTGCTAGAGATTTACTGTTAAAACAGGTCTAACTAATACTATACCCAATACTATACCATATCATAAATTCTGTATAGGCTTCATCATCTAAATATTGAAATACAGTAACTGAAAGCAATTTTAAGACAAATACACACACATTTAACTTAATGTAACACAGCTTTACTGTTTTACAGATTTTTATTGAAAGTATTGTTTCTTTGATTTTTACTGGTTGCTTGAGAGTTCCAGTTGCTTGAGTTCTGGTTAACGGAGAGCCTATTGTATTTTAGTTTATGTATTTTAATAGCATTGTATTTCATTTCTGTATTTTAGCTATACTGTACCCTACCTCAATCCATGAGGGGAGGCAGATAACAACAACAACACTAATTTGATACACAAGAAGATTAGTACACAGCAAACAAGATCACTATGCTAGCTTTTGTATTCAATCACATTTGGACATCCTCAAGTGTCTAGGATTGTATGATGTATGGGTTAATAATGTGTTCAGATCCAAGTAGGGTGCCCTTTTGAAGCTGCCAGATGGTAAATTTGTCAGCACCAATTTTTTTTAAGTGCAGGCCAAGGTCTATAGGCACTGCACCCAGTGTGCCGATCACCACTGGGACCACTTTTACTGGCTTGTGCCAGAGTCTTTGCAGTTCTATCTTTAAATCCTCATATTGTGTAAGCTTTTCCAATTGCTTCTCATCAATTCTGCTGTCACCTGGGATTGCAACATTCACATTCCATACTTAGTTTTTCCCCACTATCATGAGGTCAGGAGTATTGGGCTCCAAAACTATTATTATTATTATTAGTATTATTATTATTAAATTATTAAAATTATAAAATTATGTTAAACTTATTATAAAACTATTAAAATAATGCAATTATTTTTGTAAAAATAATGATAATTATAACTCTTATTTACCAGTGTGGGTTCGCATGTGGGCCTTAAGATGGGAACTCTTGGTGTAGGTCTTGCCACAGCCAGCAAACTCGCAGTTGTGGGTGGCCGTACGCTTACGGGGAAAGGCGGCCTTGCGGCCCTTCTTAGGCTTGCTCTCTTCCAAGGGGGCCACTTGCATGGGCGAATAGTAATCCAAGATGGGTGAGTTGGGCGGCGTGACCAGCAGGCCGTGCAAACCCTGCGCATGAGGCTTCAGGGGCTCCCGGAAGACGCTGAAGTGTCCATGGAAGTGGGGTGCCAGGGACCCAGTGAAGGTGGGGGTCTGAAAGAGGTGGGGGGCACCACCGCGTGAGTATTGCTGCACATTCATGTCACCTCCAATGACAGGGCAGTGCTGGTGAGAGTTGGGGCCCATCTGCCCAGCAGGGAAGCAAGCCGGCGCCTGATGTTGCTGTGGATGCTGGTGCTGTGGGTGCTGGTGGTGCTGGTGCATCATGGACTGCATGGCCAGGGGCTTCTGGTCTAGGCAATCAGGGCTCACGCCTCCACCCAGCATGCAAGACTGCCCATCCATGGGTTCCTGCTTGACCCGTAGGTGATCCAAGGCCATGCCTCGAGGCAGACCCGGGTGAGAAGGATGCCCGAGGCCAGCATTGGCGGCATGCAGCTCAGTGTATTCCCGCCTCTGGAGCTCACAATGACTCTGTGGTTGTGGGTGCAAGTCCTGGGTGAAGAGCTCAGCCACGTAGCTGTGCCCTGGGCTGGGCAAGTAGGATGGTGCAAACTTGTTGGAGGGCTGGTAGTTGGAGCCATCGCTGTCATAAGTTGTGCCGCAGCTCTCAGGGGTCTCGGGTAAGGGATAATGGGGGTTGGGGTGTGGGGCTGGCACAGACCCTGCCCCTCCTGGTGCTGCCCCATTGGGCTGCCCATTGCTGGTGTGTGCCAGGATGAAGTCCAAGTCAACAAAGTTGCCGAGCTCATCTGCTTCCCGTTTAATGTTGGTGCCACCTTCTGCCTGAGGAGGAGCCAGACGCTGTGCAAGGAAATAGGGAGAGAGAAGGGTTAATACTAACAAAGGGAGACTCTGCCCAATTTATAGATCTCCAAATCTGAAAAAATCCCAAACTATTTACATGCAGTCCCCAAGTTATGAACATGATAGGTTCTATGTGGTGTTGAAGGCTTTCATGGCCAAAATAACTGGGTTGCTGTGAGTTTTCTGGGCTGTCTGGCCATGTGCCAGAAGCATTCTCTCCTAATGTTTCACCCACATCTATGGCAGGCATCCTCAGAGGTTGTGAGGTTTGTTGGAAACAAGGCAAGTGGGGTTTATATATCTGTGGAATGTTCAGGGCGAGAGAAAGAACTCTTGTCTGCTTGAGGCAAGTGTGAATGATGCAATTGATCACCTTGATTAGCATTGAATGGTTTTGTAGCTGCAAAGTCAATCAGTGAGGGTATATGTATAAAGGTCTGTTAGAAACTGGGCAAGTGAGGTTTATATATATCTGTGGAATGTCCAGGGTGGGAAAAAGAACTGTTGTCTGCTTGAGGCAAGTGTGAATGATGCAATTGATCACCTTGATTAGCATTGAAAAGCCGTGCCACTTCAAGGCTTGGGTGCTTCTTGCCTGGGGGAATCCAAATAGTATACTGGACACAGCAAATTATTTGAGAACACAGAAATGCTGGACCACTCACCATGTCAGACTACACTGAGAAGCCACTGAAATCCATAAGCATGTGGACAATTTCAATACAAAGGAGGAAACCACGAAAATGAACACGATCTGGCTACCAGTGTTAAAAAAACCTCTAAAATCAGAACAGTAAAGAAAGAACAACACTCAAGAACAGGGGAATTCCAGACAAGAAACAATCAGGGCCAGCTAATCACCTCCCAACAAAGGATTCCCCCAGGCAGGAAGCAGCCTAGCCTTGAAGCTGCAGTGCTTTTCAATGCTAATCATGGTGATCAATTGCAGCATTCACACTTGCCTCAAAACAGACAGGAGTTCTTTTTCCCACCCTGGACATTCCACAGATATATAAACCCCACTTTCCAACAAACCTCACAACCTCTGCCATAGATGTGGGCAAAACGTTTGGAGAGAATGCTTCTGGAACATGGCCATACAGCCCGGAAAACTCACAACAACCCACGATAGGATTTGTGTTTGTTCTGAAGTTGAATTTGCATGTAAGTTGGAACAGGGAAGGGTCAAAACCCCTGTGGCTGCTTTGTCATCTATGACCCTGTTCAGAAGATTTCGCCTCACTTTCTGTTCCTGTGATAATTGGATTTTGAAAAATTTGGCTTGTTGTAGAAACAAGAATCAATGATAAAGCTTCAGTTGAGACACTTGTCCCCCTTGATAACTCTTTCAGGACTGAATTTATCTTCCTAAGAGAAGATTTCTCTCACTTCCTGTTGTCTCACACACACCCCACCCCGTTCTTAACTATGAGTCGTTTGTAAGTCAGATGTTTGCAACTTGAGGACTGCCTGTATAGACTCCCAAATCCGAAAAAAAAACTATTTATAGCCCACAAACCTGAAAAAACACTGTTTATAGCCCCTCAAATCTGAAAAATACAAACGTTTCACAGACCCCCAAACTTAAATAAAACACTATTTATAGCTTCCCCCCAAATCTGAAGAAAACTATTCTTAGATCCCAAAATCTAAAAATGCTATATGTGATATCAGAAGAAACAAAAAGTTTTGGTTTCGAGAATAAGTGGGAACTCAATCTGTGTGTGTGTGTGTATGTATGTATGTGTGTGGATATGTATGTATATGTAAGTGTATGTGTGTGTGTGTATGTATGGTATTCCTTGCCTAAGTGTATTTATACTGGCATATAATTTTTGCAGATGGTGTATACTAAATTTTCTTAGATCCCCAAATCTAAAAAAAAAGATTTATAGTCCACCAAATCTTTAAAAAAACCTTTAAATAGTCCCCAACCTTAAAAACACGATTAACAACAACAACAATAATACATTTTATTAATTATCTGCCTCTCCTCAGGGCTGGAAGTAGGTATACTGTTAAAACACCCAGGTGAAACACAATACCATTACAATGCATATTAAAATGCTTAATACAAAGATTAAAGCACCATACTAATGTAGAAGGTTTTTATAGTCTCCCCAAATCTGAAAAAAGGAGTCTGGGCGCACCTTCCCTTCAACTCACTCCAAATTAGAGCCACTCTGAGTGCGTCTATCTACGCTGTTGAATTAATACAGTTTTGCACCGCTTTAACTACCGCGGCTGAATGCTAGGAGTTAAAATGGGCATCTACACTGTAGAATTCATCCGGTTTGACTCTACTTTAACCGTCACGCGGCTCAATACTATGGAATCATGGGAGTTGTTTTGAATCTTCTGTCAAAGAGGAAGGACGGGTTCCGCACTAAAACGACAACTCCTGGGATTCAAGAGCATCGAGCCATGATTGTTCTACATTAATTCTACAGTGTAGATCAGGCATGGGCAAACTTCGGCCCTCCCTCCAGGTGTTTTGGACTTCAACTCCCACCATTCCTAACAGCCGGGAATGGTGGGAGTTGAAGTCCAAAACACCTGGAGGGAGGGTCGAAGTTTGCCCATGCCTGGTGTAGATCCATCTATGCCGAAGAGGGCTCTGTACCTCAGTGAACTACAAAGCCCATAGCACTGAGCCGCAGCAGCTCAAGCGGGGCCAAACTGCGTTAATTCTACAATGTAGATGAACCTTCCGCGGCGCTCCCCCTTGACCCCCGATAGGGCCAAGAACTCTAAGCCCCTTCTATGCTACTGTACAAAATCCACATTGAACTGGATTATATGGCAGTGTGGACTCAGCTAATCCAGTTCAAAGGCAGTTATCTGCCTTGATATTCTGGGAGCCCTTCCACATAGCCACATAATTCAGAATATCAAGGCAGATAACCCACAGCATCTGCTTTGAACTGGGTTATCTGAGTCCACACTGCTATATAATCCACTTCAAAGCAGATAATGTGGGGATTTTATTCAGCTGTGTGGAAGGGGCCTGGGTTATATGGCTGTGGGCTCTTCCACACAGAATATCAAGGCAGGAAATCCCACAGTATCTGCTTTGAACTGGGTTATCTGAGTCCACACTGCCATATACCCCAGTTCAAAGCAGATAATGTGGGGATTTTATTCAGCTGGGTTAAATGGCTGTGGGCCCTTCCACACACTCATATAACCCAGAATATCGAGGCAGGGAATCCCACAATATCTTCTTTGAACTGGGTTATCTGAGTCCACACTGCCATATATTCCAGTTCAAAGCAGAAAATGTGGGATTTCCTGCCTTGATATTCTGGGTTATATGGCTGTGTGGAAGAGCCCGAAGTGGAAGGACCCAAAGACGCCTCCTCACTTTTGAAGGGACGAGATTCTTTCTAGAGGAAAGCAGCAACAAGAGCCAGAGACAGGCACCTTTAGACCCGCCCCCTCCCCAATTTGTGATTGGCTCCGTTCCCCGAGAAGCCCCTCTCGAGACGGGACGCGATTGGCCAAAACGCGGCACCAAGCCGAACTCTCCGGCTTTGCCACCTGCGCCCTTCCCAAAGCCCCAGGCAGAGTAGCCAAGGTAGTCCTCAAGTCGCAACTCCATATCTATGGAATGTCTCCCAACTCCCTTCTGGGAAGGCAGCCCCCGAAATATCCTCCAGTGCTGCCCCTTAAACCAGTGGTTCACAACCTTCCTAATGCCACGACCCCTTAATACAGTTCCTCATGTTGTGGTGACCCCCAACCACAAAATCATTTTCGTTGCTACTTCATAACTGTCATTTTGCTACTGATATCAATTATAATGTAAATATCTGATGTATTTTCATTCACTGGACCAAATTTGGCACAAATACCCGATCCACCCAAATTTGAATACTAGTGGGGTCGGACGGAGGATTGATTTTATCATCTGGGAGGTGTAGTTGCTGAGTTCACCTACAATCAAAGAGCATTCTGAACTCCACCAACGATGGAATTGAACCAAACTTGGCACACAGAACTCCCATGACCAATTGAAAAAACGAAAGGTTTGGTGGGCATTGACCTTGAGTTCGGGAGTTGTAGTTCACCTACATCCAGAAAGCACTGTGGACTCCAACAATGATGGATTTGGACCAAACTTGGCACGAATACTCAATATGCCCAAATGTGAACACTGCCGGAGTTTGGGGGAAATAGACCTTGACATTTGGAAGTTGCAGTTGCTGGGATTTATAGTTCATCTACGATCCAAGAGCATTCTGAACTCCACCAACGAGGGAATTGAATCAAACTTAGCACACAGAACTTTAATGATCAGCAGAAAAAACTGGAAGGGTTTGGTGGGCATTGACCTTGAGTTCGGGAGTTGTAGTTCACCTATATCCAGAGAGAATGGTGGACTCAAACAATGATGGATCTGGACCAAACTTGGTACGAATACTTAATATGTCCAAATGTGGACACTGGTTGAGTTTGGGGAAAATAGACCTTGACATTTGGGAGTTGCAGTTGCTGGGATGTATAGTTCACCTACAACCAAAGTGCATTCTGCACCTCACCAAGGATAGAATTGGGCCAAACTTCCCACACAGAAACCCCATGACCAATAGAAAAACTGGAAGGGTTTGGTGGGCATTGATCTTGAGTTTGGGAGTTGTAGTTCACCTGCATCCAGAGAGCACTGTGGACTCAAACAATGATGGATCTGGACCAAACTTGGCACGAATACTTAATTCACTCAAATGTGGACACTGGTTGAGTTTGGGGAAAACAGACCTTGGCATTTGGGAGTTGTAGTTACTGGATGTATAATTCACCTACAATCAAAGAGAATTCTGAATCCCACCAAGGATAGAATTGGGCCAAACTTCCCACACAGAAACCCCATGACCAATAGAAAATACTGTGTTTTCTGATGGTCTTTGGCAACCCCTCTGCCACCCCCTCACGCCCCCCCTTCTCAAGGGTCCCGACCCTCAGGATGTGAAATATTGCCCTAGACGGAAAGATCCTCTCTCGAGGATAAAGTACATATTGGGGAGGGTTCTTCAGTAGTCTATCTCCATGCCGTTTGCCACCACTTTAATTCGCCCTGGCTCACTGCGATGGAAGCCTGTCATTTGCAGTGATGGCGAGGCACCCGCACTCTTGGGCGGAGGCGGCGACAGACCTTGTAAAACTACAACGCCCAAGGTTTCTCAGCGCTGAGCCGTCTAAGTTGGAAGTGCTTGTCAAACGGCAGTGAAGATGGAAATGGGAAGAGCAGCAGGTGGGGAGGATTTGACACGGGGAAAGCGCCTTCCTGGTGGCTTCCCAAAGTTTAGATGCTGAGGAGGAGGAGGATGCTGCTGACAACGACGACGATGATGGTGATTCCCTCGCCCGCTTCCCACCCCGCATCTCTCTCAATCTCTCTCTCCTTCCCCTCCTACCATTTCGGGCGGGCTGTTTTCCAGCGGCACCAAGCCGGCGAAGGTGGAGATGGAGGGCAGGACGGCTTCTTCCACGGCCACGCTCATTTTGCGCGGGGAATACGCGCTGGGAAATCGCCGCTTCCCTCCGAGGCACTGGCCGCGCGATCCCAGTGAAATCCTTCCCGAAGCAGGCAGGCAGCGCGCGGGGAAAGTGCCTGCCTGGAGTCTTCAACTAGTTGCAAGCAAGCGAGAGAGCGAGGAGAGGGCGCTCCGCTCCGCGCGCTCCCATTGGCCGGGCGCCGCTGCATATTCATAAGTTTCGCCTGCTGATTTGAATACACGGGGAGCTAAGGCCACGCCCCCGCTCTTACCCAGGCAGGTCATTCAGAAAGCAAAGGTAAAGCTTGTTAGGGCCCTTCCACACAGCCCAGAATATCAAGGCAGAAAATCCCACATTATCTCCTTTGAACCGGAATTTATTTATTTATTAACTGCATTTCTATACCGCTTTTCTCACCCCTGGAGGGACTCAAAGCGGTTTATAACATAATACATGGCAAATTTAATACCTCTCGTATATATAATGTAAATATCTGATGTATTTTCATTCATTGGATCAAATTTGGCACAAATCCCCTATACACCCAAGTTTGAATACTGGTCGGGTTGGGGTGTGTGTGTGTGTGTGTGTGGATTTTGTCATTTGGGAGTTATAGTTGCTGGGATTTATAGTTCACCAACAATCAAAGAGCATTCTGAATTCCACCAAGGATGGAATTGAACCAAACTTGGCACACAGAACTTCCATGACTAACAAAAAATACTGGAAGGATTTAGTGGGCATTGATCTTGGGTTTGGGAGTTGTAGTTCCCCTACATCCAGAGAGCACTGTGGACTCAAATAATGATGGATCTGGACCAAACTTGGCACCCTGGGTTTGAGCCTGTCACTTTTCAATCAACAAACAAGTTCAGCAGCTCAGCAGTTTAACCCACTGTGCCACTGGAGGGGGGGCGGCTTTGCTATATATATAGCGAAGCTCCCCCCCCCCAGTGGCGCCGTGGGTTAAACCACTGAGCTGCTGAACTTGTTGTTCGACTGAAAGGTGACAGGTTCGAATCCAGGGAGCTGTGTAAGCTCTCGCTGTTAGCCCCAGCTTCTGCCAACCTAGAAGTTCGAAAACATGCAAATGTGAGTAGATCAATAGATACCTTTCGGCGGGAAGGTAGCAGCACTCCATGCAGCCTGCCTGGTTGGTGGGGACAAAGGGGAGGGCCTTCTCGGTGGTGGCCCCCTGCCTCTGTAACGCCCTCCTCAAGGAGATAAGGCTGGCCCCATACCTCACTTCCTTCCATACGAAACTTGAAGACTTGGTGGTTTCATCAGGCCTTCGATAATGACTAGTCTCAAGACTCAAGCCCTTGGTCCAACAGTTAGGACTTGGCCTTGTACCTCATCCATTCCCCAGTTCCCGGTCATCTGAGGGTACCTTTTCTTCCAGCCCAGACCTTTTTTATAGTCCTTTAATTGGCCCTAGAATTGAGTGGCCACAGTCCCCTAGTAGGTGGCGGGGGTGGGGGGGGGGGTTTTATCTGATGATGGCAGTAGGCTACTGATCAGTTTGGTAAAAGTCTACAGAAACATAGATTTTATCAGTTGTGTTGTCATACAGTCAGGTGTGAGCTATCACTTGCCAGTAGACTGAGGATGGTGGGGGAGGGTAGCGAAGGAGGAGAATTGGTCTGTAGGCACCACTTTCCACTGTGGTAGAGCCGAAGTCTCCTGCCCTCCTTTTCACCTCCTCCTTGGGACTCTTTGCTCTATCTCTCAGCTGAAAGAAGGTGGTGAGTTAGTGAAGAAAGGAAGGCAGGGTGGGCTGCTAGGTTGACCAGGAATAAAGTGTTACCTAATGGGTAGAGCAAATGTGATGGATGTCTCTTTAGAGCAAAGGCACCCGGGCCATCTTCCAAGCCATGCTGAATCTAGCTATGCTGAATTACAGGGCCCTTCCACACAGCCCTTTATCCCAGAATATCAAGGCAGGAAATCCCACATTCTCTGATTGTGGACTCAGATAACCCAGTTCAAAGCAGATATTGTGGCCTTGATATTCTGGGATATAGGGCTGTATGGAAGGGCCCTAAATCGCAAAAAGAAAAAAAAAAGAAAAAAGAAGGGGGGGGGCATCCTATATTGGTGCCATCATCCCTTTGATCAATCCCTTTGATCAATGAAGTCAATAAAAATATGCAGATTTTTTAAACTGTTTTTAAAATGTGTGTTGTGACTGTAAAGTGTTTTTTTCCTGATATGTTGTTGATTTTATTTTATTGTGTTGGTTTTAATCTGTAATTTTTGGGCTTGTCCCCTTGTAACCTGCCCCGAGTCCCTTTGGGGAGATGATGGCGGGGTATAAAAATAAAGTTGTTGTTGTTATTATTATTATTATTATTATTATTATTATTATTATTATTATTATTAAAGGCTATAAAAACAACCATATCTTCACTTAATTCAAGGTGAAACCGACATAGAAAGTGATATTTAGAGTGAAAGTTTAGGGCTGGCATTGAGCGAGTTCCAGTATCCACAGTTTGACAACTGCAGAAGTCAGCTGGAATTTTGAAGTGTTGTATCTTTTTCTTCAATAATGTTTTTTATTACTTTCTAATTATTAAAATTTTCCCAATCACACCACCCAACACCCAGACCACATATTTCCTCTATATCAGGCATGGGCAAACTTGGGCCCTCCAGATGTCTTGGACTTCAACTCCCACAATTCCTTACATCCTCAGGCCCCTTCCTTTTTGCTTAAGTGGCAGAGGGGGGAAAGAAAAGGGCCTGAGGCTGTTAGGAATTGTGGGAGTTGAAGTCCAAAACACCTGGAGGGCCCAAGTTTGTCCATGCCTGGTGTTGTGCCATTTAAATGCAGATCTGCTACTCCTTTCCACCCAAAGCCAAGGAAGCCATCCTGGTTCTAAACCAGTGTCTGCGATTCGTAATGGACTGGATGAGGGCAAACTAACTGGAATGTAATCCAGACAAGACAGAGCTGATCTTGGTCAGTCTGAAGGCAGATCAGGGAATGGGGACACAGCCTTATTTGGAAAAGAGGTATTCCAAGGTGTAGCTTCTCTGAAAGATGCTTGATGAAATTAGGAAAGCTATTGTTGAACTACAATTCATCTTAATCCTCTGGTCAGAAACAACTTGAAGGCACACAACAACTGCAAAAAAGTAACATTTTTAAATAGGCGGACATTTCACAATACAAGTTATTCAGCTTTCATAAACAACACATTCTACTCTCACCATTAGAAAGTTTATATTAGAAATAAACATAGCATGTTGTCTTTTTTAAAGCCTTTAGTTGTCAAAAGCTTTCATGGCTGGAATCACTGGGTTGCTGCAAGTTTTCCGGGCTGTATGGCCATGTTCCAGAGGCATTCTCTCCTGACGTTTTTAATACTGGTAGCCAGATTTTGTTCGTTTTCATGAACAAAATTTCAATATTAAAAAAACTCTAAAATCAGGGCAGTAAATAAAGAACAACACTCAGAAAACAGGGGAATTCCAGAAAGCTAATACCTCCCAACAAAGTATACCCCCAGGCAGGAAGCAGCCAGGCTTTGAAACTGCAAGGCCATTCAATGCTAATCAAGGTGGCCAATTACAACATTCACACTTGCCTCAGGTAGACAAAAGTTCTTTCTTTTACCCTGAACATCCCACAGATAAATGAACACCACTTGCCTAGTTTCCAACAGACCTCACAACCTCTGAGAATGCCTGCCATAGATGTGGGCAAAACGTCAGGAGAGAAACCTTCTGGAACATTGCCATATAGCCCAGAAAACTCACAGCACACAGCAATGAAGCCTTGAGTTGATTGCAGTTGATTTTTAAGTCAAGCTTACTGTGGATTGGATTCCAAGTTGGTTTTTACATCCTCATATATGGAGACATAGGGGGCATTTCCACCAACCCTCTGTCTCTTTTTCATATCATTCCCAGGGCTCCCTCACAGTCTTCAGGTCAACGTTTTCTTGTTTTATGCAGGCTGGAGAAACAGAATGAAGTATTGGAGTTTAGTACTACTACTACTACTACGAATAATAATAATAATAATAATAATAATAAACTAATACTCTTTATGTACATGCTCACCATTCCCAGATGGAAAGTTAGGCTCCAAACCAGTCTCTTTATAATATTTGAGTTTTCTGCTTTAAGTGTGAAAATGCTCAATTAAAAAAAAAAACCCTTTTAATTGAAAACCATTCCTATCATCCTGAGTGGATTGTATGTTGTTCTTTCTCATTCTAATTTTTATTCTTGTATAATATTTTATTATTAAATCATTTTTTATATCTGTTATCAACATATCACTCACAATGATAGTTCTAACCTAGCCGTACAGTTTCTTTACCCCTTATTTACTTAATTTTTATCCCACCTTTCTCCCGATATAGGGACTCAGTGACTGACAGCAACCATCTAAGATTTCTTCTGCACTTTTCCCATAATCTTCATCATTATTCTATAAATATCTTCCAGCCAGTCAGCCACTTGCAGGTGCCCAAAGGCAACTACAGTCTCAGCAAAAAATAAATAAAAATAGTTCTATCTTAAGGAAGGGAAATGCCTTTGAATCTTCTGAAAAACTGTTTTGTTGATTGAATATTATATTTCATACTACTTTTTAAACCATTTCATTATTGTATCTGATTGGGCAGTACCAGTTCAGTTACACTATGTAACAACATTTGAAAAAAATTGTTCCTGGTTTGAAAGTGTTATTTCTGTTTAATTGTGCGGTACTTACTTTGAAAGTAGTTGTTATACTCTGGAAACTTTGTTTCTGTGGCTGCCACAAACTATGTTGAATTAGTTGAGACTGGATGAGATAGTCATGGAAAAACTATAGCAAAATGTGCTGCAGGACGTCCTTTGCACTTTAATAAACTTTTCCCATGTTTTTATGATAGAACCAATTAGGAAATGACATTTATAATGCAGGAACAAAAATCATGTTACATAGTGTTATTCCCATCTCTTTCATACTTTAAGTTTTTAATTTCCCAGTTGTCTTTTTCTTGCTACATTTCTATAGTTTATTCTAAATCTTACCTGATAGAGATAATGTTTTGGCCATCTTCAGCCCCATCTACACTACCATGTAATCCAGTTTCTGGTCCCAGATTATCTGCTTTGAACTAGTCTATAAGGCAATGTAGACTC